GCCACAATTATGAGAGTGAAAAGAACAGTTATCTGTTTTAAAGGAAAAGCCTCTCAAATTTGTTTGAGTGACAAAACCTACATGCTTTTGCATCACTCATAGAGTTCTTTGAGATTGCAAAGAAAATGCTTTTAACAAAGCAGTTCTCTTCAGTGACAGAGGGTCTATTTCAAAGACATAATAGGAATGTGATGTTGGCTCATCTGCCACAGAGTTACTCCGGATGCTAATGTTTCCAGATTTCAGGAAAAAAACAGGCCAGTAACCGTGTATCATCTGAGACAGAAATCTGAGATCTAGAGATCTAATTTACAATACATAATGAATTAATAAACAGTCAGGAAATTTTGTTTCCAAACGAAAAAGCAAACTATGCAAATTAAAGCAAGAACATCAACAAAAATCTGTTAGAAATATCAGCAGAAAAGAATGGAAATCCAACACTGATGTGAGCTGTTAAGACATTACCACATATATATCATCCTATGATGAGTAAAGAAGATAAGATATAAATAAGCACAAAAAGAATTTCAGTAGTAAAATTTCTAAATATCATACCAATTTTACTGACAAAATGATTCTGAAGTTCATCTGAACAAAAAGAAACAATTTAAAATTTCTACAAAATTCTGCCAGGCATGGTGGCTGACATCTGTAATCCCAGCACTTTTGGAGACCAAGGCAGGTGGATCTCTTGAGCTCAGGAGTTTCCCAGCCTGGGCAATATAGCAAGACTCCATCTCTACAAAAAACACAGAAATTAGCTGGACACAGTAGTGCGCCCCTGTGGTGCTGAAACAGGAAAGGTTCCCTTGTCCTCCTCGCAGGGCCTGCGATGGGGTGTGGCTCACTTCTCCAGCGCCCCGCTGCTCAAACCTGTAGGGGAGCATACAGACAGGCAGGCTGTGGGGCTCCAACCCCATGGCAGTGTCTAGGGGTGAATGTTTACAGCTGAAGCCCCAGTGGGCATGTGTTACAGGGTGCTCTTTCAGTTTAGCCGTCCATAGGTGGCTTGTGTTAGCTCCATTAGACCTTTGCCTTACCGCAAGGACAGAAGGCTGTCTGTATCCCTAGGTTCTTGCCTTGGTGCACCGGAGGAATCAGATCATGTGGGCTTAGAGAATGAATGCAACGTTTTATTGAGTGGAGGTAGCTCTCAGCAGATGGGGGAACTAGAAGGGAGATGGTTTTTCCCTGGTGTCCCGCGGCTCAGCGTCCTGGGCTCTCCTCCGACTGCCCCAGCCAAACTCCATGTCGTTCGGCTGTGTTGACGGCCTGCCGTGTGCCTGTTGGTGTATTCTTCCACCGGCGTGCTCCTCTCGATGTCCTCTCAATGTCCAGATGCTTGTGTCTTCTTCCACTGATCTACTCCTCATGACGTCCAGCCGCTTGTGTGTCCGCCTGCTGGAATCTCAGGGGTTTTTATAGGCACAGGAGGGGGGCGTGGCAGGCTAGAGTGGTTTTGGGAGTTGCAACATTTGGGTAAGAAAACAAAAATGCCTGCCCTCACCTAGGTCCGTGGGCAGAGGCCCGGGGATGGTGCCCTAGCCAGGGACCCACCCTTCTCCTCCCAGCCCTTCCCTGCCCCAATTCCGTATCTGTGCCAGCTACTCAGGAGACTGAGGCAACAGGATAGCTTGAGCCTGGCAAGTGGAGGTTGCAGTGAGCTGAGATCACGCCATTGTACTCCTGCCAGGGTGATGAGAGTGAAACCCTATCTCAAAAAACAAAAACATTCTACTAAATTCTAAAAGAGTAATGAGAAGAAGCAAATATTAAAATAAATCCTGAAGTTGCAATCATTGGAAGTGTGTGGAATTGGTGCATGAATCAAAGAAAGATTAATGAAATACAAGAAACTGCACTGAAAATACCATATATGTAATAATTTTTAAATTTATTTACTGTCAAATATATCCATTTTGTGTAACGATAAAATTTGATATTTAATTAAAATTTGTAAGTAGATATATTAATGAGATAAACATACTAATAGTATATTTTAATATTAATGAATTTAATATAATTTAATAAAATATAATAAAGGAAGCAATCACCAGTGCAACAAATGATAATGAAGAAAAATACCCAAGGCAGTTGAGGAAACTATCAAGTTAAATTCCCACTTCACGTTAAATGCCTGACACATAAGGGCACAATAAATGTTTGTTAGAAGAAGAAATGAATAAGTGAGTGAATAATACATTAAATTCTAGATGGATTAAATACTTGGCAAACCATAAAGCACTAGAATAAATTACAAACATATACTGTATCAATCTCTAATTGGGAGAAGCCTTCCTAAACATAGAAATGATGGATGAGAAAACAAAAGAAACATTCACTAACACTGATTCTATAGTATTTTAAATCTCTCTCTATCAAAAACCACCAAGCTAGGAAAATAATTGCCACACAAATATGGCAAACAACGGATCAACATCTTTTATTTCTAAGAGGCTCTTGCAAATCCAAAAGACAGAGACAAATACTCCAGTGGAACTCAAGCAAGAACTTGAGATGATTCTCAGAAGTAAAAAGACAAATGAACAACAAATGTATGAAGAAATGTTCAACTTCATTTGTTATCTAAGACATGAAAAATTAAACAAAAACACAAGAATAATTCAATGCTTAAACATTCTGTCAAGAACCCTCTCCTCCAAAAAATGTACATATACATAAAATTTGGCACACCATTTTAGGGTCTTAGACCCCTAGATGTCATGTCTAGGGGAACTTAGATTTAGAATTTCTATAACTTCATGCTAACCGATGGATAGTGGAGGTGCAGAAAGATGGACATTTTATGTACTGCTGGTAGAAATATATATTTATACATTTTTAAAAGTTTTTGATAATATGTATTAAAGGCCTCAAAAAAACTATAGTTTATTCTTGATATAAATACTTTTTAAGAAAGTCCTTAAAATCTGATAAGAGCACAGTGATATATATGCAAAGATGTTCATTATAGCATTATTTATATTAACAAAAAGTGTTAGTTACTTAAATTCTCAAAATAAGGAAGAGTTTAAATAAATTATGTTACGTACTTCAGACAGGTTATTCCACCATAATATTTTTCAAGAGTATTTGACATGGGGAAATACAAAGGATGTATTACGTTGACGCAAAAGTAATTGCACTTTTTGCTATTGCAAGTAATGACAAAAACTGGAATTACTTTTGCACCAAACTGATAATATGTAAAAGGAAATTGACATATATTTTACATAAGAATAACTGCATTAAATACACATACATGGGAAAAACTACAAAGAAATATACCAAAATGTTAATTATTTTGGTATGAAGAAAATTGTGTTTTCCTTATTCTTTTCTTTTCTTTTCTTTTCTTTTTTTCTTTTTTGACAGAATTTCTCTCTTTCACCCAGGCTGGAGTGAAGTGGCATGATCTCGGCTTGCTGCAACCTCTGTCCCCCAGGTTCAAGCAATTCTCCTGCCTCAGCCTCCCAAGTAGCTGGGATTATAGGCGCATGCCACCATGCCCGGCCAATTTTTGTATTTTTAGTAGAGACAGGGTTTCACCATGTTGGCCAGGCTGGTCTCAAACTCCTAACCTCAGGTGATCTACCCCATTTCGGCCTCCCAAAGTGCTAGGATTACAGGCGTGAGCCACCGCGCCCAGCCGTTCCTTATTCATTTCTAAAATGAAAATACATTTTATATTTGACACAAAAAATTAATACGAAAAATAGAAAGGACTATGGAAACAGGGTTTCAGTCAGAAAATTCAGAACCAGACTTTGAAATAAAGAGCCATGGCTTCAGCAGACATCAGTGAAAGTGAACCAGCCCTCCGAGTCCTTCCTTGGGAGAATGTTTCGCAAAGGATGTTCGGCGCTCCGTGCTCCTGAGAGACAATGCCACGTCAGGCACTCGGAAGTGACCGACTACTTACATCCAGGGGCAACAATGTCTGCCTATTTACTTTGAGATAATCTAATATATACTTCTTCTGCTTCTTTGTTTTTTCTTTGGTGAATTGCATATTTGTGGGGAAAAGACATTCCTGTCTAGGTTTTCTTGGATTCAGATCTGAGACAATAAACACAAAGCATTCAGTAAGTCAAGAAACATTTTTTGAGGTCTCTACCAAGAACAGTACTAGTCACATGGGAAAAAAGACACATATTTGGCCTCAGGGGGTTAAAATATTGTGGGAAGCCAAACCAAGCTGGAATCCTTGGTGACATAAAATATGGTGATTAAACGTCAGGCTTTGGAATAACATCCTCAGGAGATTGGAGTCTCGGTTTTATCAATGCCCGCTTTGTGGTTTGGGGCAATTTGCTTAAGTTCTCTGAACCTCAGTCCCCTTAGAGGTAACATAAGGTATAACAGTGCTTACTTCATAAGGAGGTAGGTACAGCTAAGATAATGTGCATTGAGATAATGTCCAAGTTTCATTTTGTCTTCTTGATCCTATCTCATCACCCTAATTTCAAACTAATGTGTGCAATTAGGTACCTGAAACACATTACCCTTTTGCTGTCATGTTCTTGTAATTGATTTATGTTTTGTATAGGGTAATTAATGTTTATTGAGCATCTGCTTTTTACCATGCACTGTGTTAGAACTTTAGAGCTGTTGCATGGATAAAAGTTTTCATTGCCAATAGACCATGTGTACTACCCATGTACTCATAGAAATTATAGTTGTTGATGTCATGAGCAACTCAAAAATTTCAATGTCTTAACAAGTACATCTTTATTTCTCATTCACATTACCATCCAAGAGTTTAAGAGTTCAGTAGAAATTCTTCTATGTGGTGATTTGGGGACCCCCCTGTGTATGAGGCCATTCTCGCATTGCTATAAAGAAATACCTGAGGCTGGGTAATTTATAAAGAAAATAGGTTTAATTGGTCATGATTCTGCAGGCTTTACAGGAAGCATGGTGCTGGCATCTGCCTGGCTTCTGGTGAAGCCCCAGGGAGCTTTCAATCGTGGCAGAAGGTGAAAGGGGAAGCCGGCACCTCACATGGCCAGAGCAGGAGAAAGAGAGAGAATGGAGGGCATGAGTAACATTCTTAAACAACCAGATTTCACGAGAACTCACTAATGCAAGGACAACACCAAACCATGAGGGATCCTCTCCATGACCCAATCACCTGCCACCAGGTCCCACTTCCAACACTGGGGATTACAATTCAACATGAGATTTCACAGGGATACATATTCAAACTATATCACCATGCCAATTTTGTGGTTCCATCATCTTTCAGGGCCTCCCTAAGTCCTCGGCTGAGACCTCTCTGCATTCAGCCAACCAACAGGTGAAGGAAAAAAAAAAAAAAAAGGAGGACCAGGAGTGCCTCACCTCCAGGCCTGAAGGAAGTGGTGTACCTCATTTTCATGGACATTCTGGAAAGAATGGGAGAAACATGATTTAGCCTCCCTGCATCCCTGCAAAAGAGTTCCATGTTCCACAAGACATTATAACTGAATCAGGCTGAAAATAATTATTGGATGTAACAAAATAAAGAATTAGCCTTTTTTTCTTTAAGATGTAGTTTCACTCTGTCACCCAGACTGTGGTGCAGTAGTGCAATCTCAGCTCACTGCATCTTCGCCTCCCAGGTTCAAACGATTCTCCTGCCTCAGCCTCCTGAGTAGCTGGGACTACAGGTGTACGCCACCATGCCTGGCTAATTTTTGCATTTTTTAGTAGAGACAGGATTTCACCATATTGGACAGGCTAGTCTCAAACTCCTGACCTTGTGATCCGCCTACCTTGGCCTCCCAAAGTGCTGGGATTATAGGCGTGAGCCACCGCACCTGGCCTAGAATTCTTTATATGCTTTACCTTAACTGGGGGCTCATAAACAAATTTTAATTCAGTTACCAAAAATAAAGATTCACGCTTTTTGCATGTCTGAATCACAGTGTGGAAATTTTAACCCTCTGTGCTGCACTATATCTCTAGAGCCTCAAAATGAACCTATACTGGGTATATACCCAAAGGATTATAAATCATGCTGCTATAAAGACACACGCACACGTATGTTTATTGCGGCACTATTCACAATAGCAAAGACTTGGAATCAACCCAAAGGTCCATCAGTGACAGACTGGATTAAGAAAATGTGGCACATATACACCATGGAATACTATGCAGCCATAAAAAAGGATGAGTTTGTGTCCTTTGTAGGGACATGGATGCAGCTGGAAACCATCATTCTTAGCAAACTATCACAAGAACAGAAAACCAAACACCGCATGTTCTCACTCATAGGTGGGAACTGAACAATGAGATCACTTGGACTCTGGAATGGGAACATCACACACCGGGGCCTATCATGGGGAGGGGGGAGGGGGGAGGGATTGCATTGGGAGTTATACCTGATGTAAATGACGAGTTGATGGGTGCTGACGAGTTGATGGGTGCCTCACAGCAACATGGCACAAGTATACATATGTAACAAACCTGCACGTTATGCACATGTACCCTAGAACTTAAAGTATAATAATAATAAAAAATAAAAATAAATAAAAAAATAAATTAAAAAAAATCCTCAACACACACACACACAAAAAAATGAAAAAAAAAAAATGAACCTGTGAGGTATGTATTATTAGACACATGAGGACATTGGGTATCAAAAGTCTGGGAGAAAATTATACAGGTAACATTGAGCATGACCAGTACCAAACCCAAGAGAGTCTATCAACTGTCCTTGTTTGTTCCAACTATTCCAAACTATTCTCAATTATTAAAAGCAATTTAAAAACATCAGGCTATTAATCAATGGTTCGCATTTGGTTTGCAAAAGCATCACCTTTATCATTTGAGTATATTAATTCGACTTTAGGAAGAAAATTCCACAATCTTTTTACCCGAATCCTCAAGCCTGATCCCTGACTCTCAGGCCCAAGACCCTGTAAAGCATCCACTGGTATCATCAATTTACCCATGGGCTGGGAGAGAGGGAAAGACTCACTTTGCTGACAATCTGAAGAATGAACTTCTAGGAAGATGAGGCCTCTGACCTAGGATTTCAAGAGAAGAGGAGCAGATGACAGATTAGAAGAAGAAGCAGTTAGTATAGCTTTGGAGAGTACTCACAGCATCAAATGTATACCCATAAGCCACAAAATTGTAAGGGTGTCAAGATGTTAATTAGCTATGTTTATGTTAGTGAATATTATGTCCAAAAAAAGTTTATTGTTCAATCAGGACTGGGAAATGCTGGTTTAAACAAAATAAAACAGATTTCCAATACTGTAGCTTTTTAATAAATTGTGTACACTGAAAATATTCAAGAGGTAAATAACACAGTATTATTCAAAGCTATTTGGCTACTAAACCATTTTATCTACAGATCATCTCTTGGGGCTCATAGACCACACATGCCCCCATGGTCTCCAGGCCGTGCTGTGATCCCAGCTTTTGCAGACGAGAGAGAGAAAAACCCAGAGATGTTTGCCCTGATTGTGCCAGCAACCCAGACATGATGAAGCTCTCAGCTATAACACTTAGAAAACACAAGCCAAGAAAACCTAGGTAAATACTTCACCATTTTCACATGAATCATAATACAGTATGGTTTTCACACTGATTAGGTCTGTACAAATTGAGAACTTGAAATGCTTTGAGTAGTGTATACTCAGCATTTCTTCCAAGCAACTTGCTGCTACTTCAGTGGGAAAACTAGTCACAATAATTCAGCTAATTAGTCACTAAGCTAATTACTCTGTGCATTTTTTAAAACCTGCTTATTTTTCTCTCTTTTGTTAGAGAGAAAAAATAGTGTACAGTTACAGAGAATTGTTGCATCTGTTTTAATCAGGAGGTAAAGTGACTTGAAAGTCTTATAATATAATGTTGCAATTTCTAAGCTATAAATTTTTACTATCAAATCAAAAATGGTCACTTTGAACCTACATAGTTTGTTAGCTCTTGAGTTACAACTTCTATCCTATGGCAACTTATACCCTCTATGAATGCCAAATTTTTATATCCTAGGGTTGAATCTTACACATATAATTTGTTTTATGGATTCTGTTCTATCTGTTGTCTCATTTACAAAACACACTACCACCTCCCCTCAATAGGGTCTAAAGTTAAAAACACACATGCAATGGTTTCCTCTTTAGAAGGGAGGCCTGCAATGAATGGGAGAAATGTAATTTCTTTCTTGATCTTCCTCACACAGGACGTGAGAGGTATGCAGAGATGGTTTTTTAATATTCATCAAAGGCCTTGGAACCACGATCCCCATTCCACAATGTCTAGAAGATTTACGGAACTGAAAGTTCTCTGCTCAAGTTTCCTGGAAGCCTCTGTTCTATGTGATCAGGAGAAAAGGAAATGTAAATTCTGTACATTCCTTCAATTCTTAAGTGATGTGGGTGCGGTTGGCAAATTGCATGCTAGTAGCATTCGCCTCTTTTTTTTAATACTGAGTCTAGAAAATCTTAAATTGAACTTCCAGGCCATGAGGTGTCAAAAGAACGTTTGCCAATGATTTGTAAATAACACTGATGAAGAAAAGGTTCTAAAGAGATTCAGGTCAATCTAACAAGTGTGTCTTTGTGCTCAAGTCTTTCTCAGGAGCTGTACTAGGGGCTGTAGGGGCTACAAAAAGTGACAGTGAGGGTGAGACATTGGCTTTGTAGTTGTAGCACTTAGAATCTAGTGGAGGGAACAGGACTTAGCATGAAGAACAATTGGAGCTCAGCACAAATGCTCAGGAGTGTGGAGTAGACCAATGCTCGGTGAAGGAGGAGGGGGTCCACGCACACTGGGTCTGGGGAGGTTGACGGTGGGCAGAGCTTGGCAGAAAGGAGAGGCGAGGGCATCTCCCAGTGAGCACAGACTCACAGACAAGAAAGGGCATGAAGTAACCCTCCCCTACCATTGATTGCTTCTGGAACTCTATCAGTAATGCCCACTCTAGGCACAAATCTCACAAAACACCAGGTCAACGCTCACTCATGCAGCTCATACTTTATCTGCAAAGGTTGACATGAAGGACTGTATTCTCCAGGCTCCTATGAAAAGACACCTGTGGGCCCCCCGTAGAACACAGAGGAATGAGACGTCATGTGGCGCAGTGGTCTCCACTTGCACTCGTCTCTATAGTGTTGTTTTACCTGTATCACAGCCTCTTAGGGAGGGTTGCAGGAACAAGAAAACTAGTAAAGACTGTCTCCTATCCCAGGCACCTCCCTCCCATCTGATGACATGCAGAAGATCCCCCCTTCCTTGAAGGGTCAACCAGCCTCTGCTTACCACGTTTGAGAATTAATCTCATGACTGGGTGAATAAACCAAGGAACAAACAAAGGGACACAAAGCAGCTCTTTTCTCCGCTGAGAGCGTAGGACTTGGCAGTCCTTTCGTTAGAGAGGGACGCTTCGTCCCACGTGATTTCACTAAGCCTTCACCCCAAGATTCTTCCTCTCCTGCCTCCCACACACAAAACCCCTTTTTCCTAAGGGAGCCAAATCAAAGAACCCCACATATTCTGAAGCCCCAGATGTGGTTTCACAGCCACACCAAACAAAGAGCCTTTGGAAGGGGTGCCCTGAGAAACCAGACCAGGCTCTTCTCAAAGCATATTTGCCTCCTTTGGTCTCCAGAGATTGATTTCCACTTTGAAAGGAGTCATTTTAAAAACCTCGGGATGGTCAAGAGGGGTTCTGCCCTCCACCGGGTATGGGGACAACAGTGGGTGGGGTGGCCATGGAAAGGGCATATTATAGCTCCCTGGGGAGTGCTCACCCCCATCTCCATGCCTTTTCTCCCTCTAGCTTCTCTTCCCTCCTATCTCCTCTCCCTCCCTCTTCTTTCTTCTTCTCTCTCCCCCTCCCCACACTTGCCTATCCCCCCTCAGCCTCTCTCTCTCTCTTTCTCTTTCTCTCTCTCTCTCTCTCTCTCAGCCCTGCCATGCAGCAGCAGGGGTCACTGTGCACCAGCGGGAGGAGCCCAGCTCACAGCTCCATGCAGGACCAGAATCAGGATGAACTCCTGGCCCTGGCCTTGACTGCAGACAGGAGGCCAAGGCCAGGTCACCATGCTGGTGCTGTCTGTCTCCCTGTGCCTCCAAAGGTAATTACCTTTGCAGAAAAGGGACTGCAAAAATAATCCTGTAGACATCATGCGAGGACAGGTAAGACAGAGCGCTCTGCAGCCTGAGCACGCATCTGATCATAGAGGTAAACTAACCAGAGATAAATAAAACTCATCCTCGGCCACTCACAAAGCGCCCTCTGACCCCTGCTGTGGCATCTTAACCCCCGCCATGTCCTGAACATCCTTTCTCAAATGTTTGCTCTTGGCCCAATCAGCTCCTTCTAAGGCAAGGATTCCCTTCGATGAGGGTTCCAGCCCCCAAGGTCATGCACCACAAGACTGGGAGGGTCCTCAGAGACCAGCATCTGCCCAGTAGTTTTAGCCCTGGATTCATGAGGGCCCCCAAGCCCTGGGTCTCAGAAGCTTCTGAAGTGGGAGAGATGGAACCCTGGGAGTGGGCCAGGTCTCTGCCAGAGATTGATTCACATGAATTTGGGTTTCCTAAGATTTCATTTTTTAAGCCTCCTTCTGTTCATGCAAAACAAAACAAAGCAAAAATTGAAAAACATGGCCCTAACTCAACAATTTCCCATGTAGACAGAAGTTTCAGGGAGTTTAGTGCCCTTTCCATTATCACCCAGCCCATGTTGGCTACCTGGTCCTTCGAGGTGGAGGGGAGCAGGACAGATGGATTGAACTCAGGATAGGAAAATCTAACGGAACGGCAGCCCAGGAGTCCCCAGAGGGGCAGAGAGCCAGGTTAGAGGCTGACACATGGGTGCTTCTGGGCTTCCTCGGAGCAGGCTACCCTCGGCTCCCCACCTGGCCCACACTCTCTCCGCACCTCCGTCAGTCCTCCTGCCCACATCATGAGTGCCATTATATTTGCCATCCACTGGGTGTCCCGCAAGCAATGACTGTGGACACGGTGCAGAGATGCTCATGGTGGGTTCTAAATGATACAGGCTTCTGCCTGAGCAGGATCTCAGCTGCTGGAAGCCCCAGTGAGACTAATAGGCAAAGTAAATTATTTTCTCTTCTGCGGAAGCACAATTTTCTATCCATTTCCTCTTTTTGACATGTACAGTAGGATAAAAAGAGAGGAGGAGGAAGGCAAGGGGGGAGAAGGGAATGGAAAACACTTAGAGTTTTAATGGAGGCTCATTTTGGTAAAGTAACCCAGCGTCCCCGTAGACCTAGAGAATTAAATGCTGTCACTCAGGTCTGAAAGCAGAGTCGTCCAGTTTGCAGACACCTGTCATAATTAAACTAATGGGTCTGAAAATGTGCCTTGATATTAAATCTATCTTCCACTGAGGAGCAGAGCTGATTAAAACCACTGTTTGACAGTTAATGATGAACCTCTCGCTGACTGAGCTCTGTGACTGGAACCGGCCAGTTGGGGCTGTCCTCTGGCCCTGCTTCCATCAGAGACCTGCCCCTTCCTTCTCCCTCCACCCAAAGACAGCACAATCCCCAGGCCCTTCCTTCCCTCTCTTCTAGAAACTGGGGTTCCTCTCTACACTCTCATTTCACACCACCCTTTCTCTGTTAATGGGAAAACAGGGATTCTAAGTGGAGAGGTTGTCTTTTCGGTGAACACTGAGTTACTGCGTGGCCTTCAGGATGCATTGTTGTGCAAATTGCCTGTGGCAGAAGCAGAAGCCCTGCCCTGACTTCTGGTACCTTCTCTAGAAAACTGAACTTTCAACCCCATCTATAGGAGAGGCTAAATTCTTCCCTGTTGTAGAGTCAGAGACTCAGAATTTACAAGGTTGCGGGGTTGATTATCTTTCCCTCTAATCAGGTTTCGGGGCCAATGGTCAGACAAAGTGGTTTACAAATAGAACTGTCCTTTGGGAAAGCAACATATTCCAAAGAGATTATTTGGAAATGTAATGATGCTGCCTATTTATACACAGCTCCTCTCTCTCACCAGTGAGACACCTTTGATACCAGATTCCTCGGAGGGA